TCTCGAAAAAAAAAAAAGAAAGCTCGAGAGTCCATGGACAGAGTCGAAACTCTAACCTTTTTCTTCCCTCTTTCCATCCTCTCTTACTCGACTTTTTTCGTCTGCACTCTCTCCCTTTTTTACATCTCTCCGTCTTTTTATTTCTTTATCATATCTTTTTTTTTTCTTAAGGATTTTGTTTCTGTCTTTCTCTTCTTCTTCTTCTTCTTCGTTTTTTATCTTTGTCGCGAAGGGAGCAGCAGGATCCGAGCGAAGAAACAGCGGCAGGAGGAAAAGGGGGAGGAATTCGTAAAAAGAGAGGAATGCAACGTCTGGTCGTACGTCATTCTGTCCGCGGTACGGTGGCCAACAATGCTTTCTCTCTTCTTCTCTGTGCGAGCCTCGTGGCCTCCAAGAATTCTGCCGAAGCGCTTTTGATCTCGCTCGCGCGCAAATTACGAGAATCCGTATGGAGAATTTTCAGAAATGCCGATCCGTTGCCTCGATCGACGTCAATGGAAAGAGATTAAATTTTTTTGCGCGGACTAGCAACGAAGCTTCTGCTTTTATTCTTGAAAGCTCACGTTTGTTTTTCGATTCTCGGCAGCTTCGTCGAATCGCATCGCGTGTTTCGATATACGAGACACAGAGTGGTAAGCGAAACCGTAGTTCGATCCTGTAATTGGTACGCTTTACTGCCCCTAGGATAATTAGACGGTAATCGCGTATTTCTTGGTAATCGTACGATGAGTCCTGAAAGCGTGTGTACAGGTCGAAGGCAAAAGTTGCAGGCAGGACAAAAAGCGCGCGACTAGAGAAGAAGAAGAGACGAGCAAAAAAAGAAAAAGCTGCGGGGGAAGAGAAAGAGAAAGAAAGAGAGAGAGAGAGAGAGAGAATGTCTCCGGGGCGAGATGTTCGGATAACGCATTAAACACCGTTCCTTCTGGAAAGCGATGCTGAACGGGACAAGGAGGGTAATACCCTTGCCGGTGGTATCGTTAGCACGATGTAACGCAACGAGGAACGAGGAACGAGCGGTCGTTCACGTCGTCGGTATCGTTGTTACACGGACACATAGAGGAAAGCGCGCGGCGTGTTGTGCGGAGGTGCTCGGCAAATGACAGAGGAGGGTGCAGATAGGAAGGGGAACGCGTTTGTGTATGTGACGATGTGCACATGTACACTCACATATAGTACACGTATACGTGTACACGTGCGCGCGAGATGCTCGGTTCGTTTGTGGGGGAATTGTTGGTGCGCGGGGGTTGGTGCAGGAATGAAGTTGGCCGACGGGCGAGAGAAGCCTAGGAGAAGCGAGAAACGGTGCAGGGGAAGAAGGAGGAAGGGTGAATCATGGTGGGGTGCTCTCGAAAGGGTGGAGTGGGTGCGGGGTGTCTCTTTTGAGCCGCTGAACTTTGCCAAGTTCGAAACCGTCCGAGGCCGTGGCGACTCACCCTCTGACGTGCATTCGGCTTCCACCCTTCTTCTTCCTCCCCTTCTTTCGTTCTATCTCTCCCTCTCGTTCTCTATATCTCTCTTCCCCTCATGGTTTTCCCTGCATCGGTCTCTCCTTCTATCTATAACAGTGTACGACTGTACTCGCCGTACACGTCTCTCTTCTCTTTCTCTGTTTTCTCTCCTCCGGCCCCCGTCTGTTTCTCCTGCCCGTCGCTGTCTCTGTTCCTCCTTCTCCACTCACCCCCCTCTACCCGAAACCGCGCTTCGGCGTACCCTCTCAGCCGTCGTGGTATTATGGAAATTTTGAACCAATTCGAAAATCAATAGTCCCTGCCAGGAAGCCTCGAGGCGGCCTACGTTGCAACCACGCTCTTCCCTAGAACGTATTCAGGACCGCGGTGTGTTTCACGATAGGCCGCGTAAGCCTTCGCGTTTTCGCGTCTTACGCACTCGCACGTCTACCAGGCTGCTCCGACATTTTGGTACCGCCGCGTCACACAGAGCAACACCTTCGCGGTTTTCGCGGTTTTTTCGCGCGGCGCATTTTTTCTGCCGCGGTGCTTCGTTCGTGGCGCGTACGAAAAAATCGGAGGGAAGGAAAAAAGGGAAAGGCGAAAGGTGGTTTTAGTTTCTTTCTCTCTTTCTTTCGGTCGTGGGAGAGGCGCAGAAACGAAGGATGAAGCGGGAAAAGAGAGAGGGGGTCAAAATCTTGGCAACGTTGGAGGCTTTTTCATTTGATGCGCATCGGATTCCGGGACGCTTGGAATCGCTTCGGTTCCCATGAGTCTCCGCGGCAATCCGAGTAAAGGGATAGAGGAGGGGCGTCTACGCGGCTGGTGGGGAGAGCTTTTTTCGTTTTACAAACTGGTTCAATTTTTTCTCAAAAAGCGGGTGAACACCGCGGAAACCGGTTGTGTCTACGCCGACTCGGGACCCGACTAGCCGAGGAGGAGGCGTCGGAGGGGAATGGTCTTCTCTTCGGAGCTCCAGGTTCGTGTAGACTCTGCTATGTAGCCCCGTTCAACGACAGTATCCTTCTACTTAATTGAACCAACTGATCTCATTGTGTCTGCGAGCACGCTTCCATCCGAAAATCCAATTCCCCGCTCTTCCCAAAACTTTCTCCCAAATGTCTGCCGACGTCTACGCCGGAAAACCAGTAATTACTGAGATTTTTCCGAGTCTCTCGATGAACTTTCCAGCTTTCTCAAACTTTCTTACACCCATCCTCCTTCCGTAGAATTCGTAATTATTATTTTATCATAGATCGCGATAGCGTAGCCGGGGTAAGTTTGTCGCGATCCTCGAATTTTTTCCATCTCCATCTCGCTTTCGTTTCGATCGAAAGGAAAGCTTTCAACGTGTGACTGTTAATCCTGTTGTTCTCCTCGGATCTACGCGACTGAAAATGGATGTTACACGTGCCTCTCGTGGTCAACTTCGCTTTTTTCTAAATCTCGCAATCTCGTCGTATGGACAACGCGATTAAGGGAGACTCGCAGAGGAAACGAGAACAACGGGATTAAGAAAGTCTACGGCGCGAGAGCGAGATGTTTTCATATTTTCCCGAAACTCGAGAAATTTTCCAGCGATATCGAATGAAAGTGATTCGATCGAGAACGATCCAAGGAACGCAGCATGGGTCGAACATTCGCTTTGGTTATGCCGCATCCTTCTTCTCACGATGGAAATGCAATTATGATGCTTCTAAAATAGAACTCTCTTTGTTCCTTCGTAATAAAAAAAAAAAAAAAAAAAAAAAAAGG